CACAGGAGCGAGGCTGTAACTGTCAGAAGCTGGTGTTGTTGTTGTTTCAGATTTAGCTACTCAGAACGAGGTGTCAATGTAGCATGGGCTATGGTGAGCCCGTAATTGAGTTTGGTTATACGCGATAACCTTGTTTCTGTGATATTTGGGTCTAAGTTTAAAATGTAGAAGGGAATTTCTCCTTTTTCCCAGCTTATTTATCGCTTCTGTTTTAGTGCACTGGTTTTAATCTTGTTTTATTAACATTATCTTGGTGGCGGATGTAGATGTAGAATGCTCACTAATGAGTCCCATTCCTCAACGGCTTTTCTAATTATTGTAGTCGCGGTGGAATGTGCATCTAATGCAGCTGCTGTCGTTGGATTAATGTTGAGTTTGATGCGCAGGGCTTCAGTAGCTTCACATTCCAGTAAGTAGTGCAACAGTGGCGCCTCTACTTCTGTTTCACAGAAGTGACACTTTAATTATTGAGTTCATTACCTCCCAGCAGCACTTGTAACCAAGTCTGAGTCTGTGTATGGCTACTGCAATATCTCTGGATATCTTTTTGCCAGGCTTGAAAGAGGAGTAACCAGTGGCTAGAGAAGCTGGTTGATGATGATGATGATGAAGATTAAGCCACCCAAAAGGTGGCACGGGCATGAATAGCCCGTAAGTGGTGGCCCTTTTGAGCCATTACCAGTATCAAGAGCTGATACTGGAGATCTGTAGAGGTGCGAATGCACCCTGCATGGCGGGAGATGTCTCCCTTGTGAATGTGTTATGAAGATGAAGCCACCCAAAAGGTGGCACGGGCATGAATAGCTTGTAAGTGGTGGCCCTTTTGAGCCATCACCAGTATCAATAGATGATACTGGAGATCTGTGGAGGTGCGACTGCACCCTGCGTGACGGAAGATGTCTTCCGTGATTTAAACAGATTGAATTGATTGATGAAGATGAAGCCACCTAAAAGGTGGCACGGGCATGAATTGCTCGTAAGTGGTGGCCCTTTTGAGCCATTACCAGTATCAAGAGCTGATACTGGAGATCTGTGGAGGCGCGACTGCACCCTGCGTGACGGGAGATGTCTCCCGGACCAAGTGGTGACCAAATGGTGAGAAGCTGGTGGTTCTTGTGTGTTTATATATCCCAGCTTAAGATGCCAGCTCTGGTGTAATAGAGAGTGGGTTGGGTGTTATATGATGATAGTATTGCCGCGGGCGTAGATCACCACCTAGGAGGGTCTGGCGTGTTGACGAGGTGACCGCCACACGAACTGCCCTCCACTCGTCGCTTGGCCTTCGATCTCAACATGCGTAGAGTCAGTGATCAGAATGGGGGTGAGGAGCAGTTTGTATAATTTGAAAGTTTAAGGTTTGGACGGCACATCACAGCACCGCTCCTGTGCCAGGTAAGTCCACTACGGGCTCACCATAGCCCGTGTTACTTGCCCAGCTCCTGTACCAGGTAAGTTATGGGCTCACCATAGCCCGTGCTACTTGGAACTTGTTCCGAGTAGCTGAATCTATAACAACAACAACAGTTTGGACGGAACAGGTAAGGCCTAGTGTTATTTGTAATCTAAAGTAATAATTTAAGAAACTCTGCCCAACCTTTAATTTATGTGTGGGCGAGTTTCAGATTTTCTGCACAAGTTATTATGGTAAGTTCAAATTTTGCTACAATGTACCTATTATTAATCTTACCTTTATTAGCTTAAAGACCTACCCGAAGCGCAATGCGTGTTAGTGGCTTTGCAAGAATGTAAGAACGCCAATATTATATACTCTCACAACCCAATGTACCTTCTTATATATAAATAAATAAAATAAAGTAATAAAATAATAGTTGGATGCGGGCAGGGAGTGCTGATGAGGATTTTAGTTTGTCCTTGCTGCCCATTAAACTCTATGGGCTAGTCGCCAAAAAGTTATAATATAATACACCTCACAACGCTCTCAGAGACAGAGGCATCATCCTCTTAGGCTCATCGCGGTTCCCTTGACCTAACTACTCGCCGCACATAGGATGCAACTCGCAGCCTTTGACTAACTTGGTACCTATTTATTACTAGGGAAACACAGACATCAGATGTGAGGAAACATTCCAAAAATTACTTTTTTCTTCATTATACAGGTGGGTGCATGAACACACAACTTCAGACTCCAATTAGCAGCTTCAGAGTTCCACCCTCCCGTTCCCCATGGCTCACGATGAGCCTTACCCATTAGTTCGGTAACGATGAGGCTTTCTCAAAGTACCAAACGAGACTTACCGGAAGAACTCTGTAACTGGTCGTTTGACCTCTGCGATCGTAATCGTTTGACCTCTGTGATCTGAATCGTTTGACCTCTGTGAGCTTAATCGTTTGATATCTGATACCCTGATGGGGGGACGGGGGGGGGGGTTAGAAATAGCCTAAGCTACTTCATCCATTTGAGATGTATTTTCTTGTCTCAATAAACATACTTGAACTTGTGACCCTGATCATTCGGGCTCTAAGACAGTGACCTCAGTGACTAATAGTTTGACGTGTGCCCTGATTAAATGACTTATATCGCCTTTATTGTTGTACATGAGAGAGAGAGAGAGAGAGAGAGAGAGAGAGAGTGTGTGTGAATGAATGAGAATCTCATAACAACATACACATTAGACAAACCACTTCTCGATCAATTCTCAATTGTCCCTTGTCGCCCATCACTCCAGACAGATGGGAGAGTGCAGCTGTCACAGGTTTCAACATGTTGTGGACCCATTTTTTAGGTGGCTCGTGTCTCAGTAGTATGTTGCATGTATATTCCCGGGTGTGTATTTTGATATAAATATGTATGTTTATATGATATGATACGCTATGCTACCCAGGAATATATATATATATATATATATATATATATATATATATATATATATATATATATATATATATATATATATATATATATATATATGCTTGTGTGTGTTAACTGGTGTGTAGCAAATTACTTAAGTGATTATACAGGCGAGCAGGTAAGACAGTATGATCAAGACAAGATTGATCACTTAGTCTGTCAATTTGTCAGTTAGCCAATCAGCCAGTTTGTCAATCGGCTAATAACTTATTTCTTGTCTTGTATTGTTGTCAAGTTGAAGCAAGAATATTATTACCACGTTCATGCAAGGGTATTATTACCATGTTGAAGCAAGTGAATTATACCATGATGAAGGAAGTGTATTTTGCCATGTTGAAACAAGTGTATTATTACCACGTTGAAACAAGTGTATTATTACCATGTTGAAGCAAGTGTATTCTTACCATGCTGAAGCAAGTGTATTCTTACTATGCTGAAGCAAGTGTATTCTTACTATGCTGAAGCAAGTGTATTCTTACCATGCTGAAGCAAGTGTATTCTTACCATGCTGAAGCAAGTGTATTCTTACTATGCTGAAGCAAGTGTATTCTTACCATGCTGAAGCAAGTGTATTCTTACCATGCTGAAGCAAGTGTATTCTTACCATGCTGAAGCAAGTGTATTCTTACCATGCTGAAGCAAGTGTATTCTTACCATGCTGAAGCAAGTGTATTCTTACCATGCTGAAGCAAGTGTATTCTTACCATGCTGAAGCAAGTGTATTCTTACCATGCTGAAGCAAGTGTATTCTTACCATGCTGAAGCAAGTGTATTCTTACCATGCTGAAGCAAGTGTATTCTTACCATGCTGAAGCAAGTGTATTCTTACCATGCTGAAGCTAGTGTATTATTACCATGTTGAAGCTAGTGTATTATTACCATGCTGAAGCAAGTGTATTCTTACCATGCTGAAGCAAGTGTATTCTTACCATGCTGAAGCAAGTGTATTCTTACCATGCTGAAGCAAGTGTATTCTTACCATGCTGAAGCAAGTGTATTCTTACCATGCTGAAGCAAGTGTATTCTTACCATGCTGAAGCAAGTGTATTCTTACCATGCTGAAGCAAGTGTATTCTTACCATGCTGAAGCTAGTGTATTATTACCATGTTGAAGCTAGTGTATTATTACCATGTTAAAGCAACAGTATTATTACTATTGTTAAAGCAAGTTCATTATTATCATGTTGGAGCAGGTCTATTACTACCTGTTAAAGCAGTTATTGCCACGTTGAAATAAGTGTATTAGTTAATTTTTAACAGGGAAAGGAAGTTAAGAAACACAGACCAATACAATTATTCAAAGCTAATGATTTGGAGAGGGTAGGTGATCAAGATGTGGAGGAGAGGACGTGGTCCTTCACCCAGCCAGGCAGAACTTACCCTATACAGTATATCTCAGATGACAAGCAGGTACAACATTACTGAACAAAAAATTGTACCACTTATGGGATATTCATGCCCGTGCCACCTCTTGGGTTGCTTAATCTTTATCAATCAATCAATCAGGTACAACACCATAGGGACACTATGGAATAGTAATGTGCAGAATGCAGGAACAATCTCTCAGCCCTCTAGGACCAACGTCACACATTTAACAATTCCTTCTATACAAATGCCAGAAGTCTAGTAAATAAATTTGATGTATTGTGTGCATATATGGAGGCTGAGAATCCCAATGTGATTAGCATCAGTGAAACATGGGAACAAGAGGACATAATTAAAGGGGAATTTCCATCTTCCTGGATATTATCTACCATTCAGAAAGGACAGAAGAGCAAGAGCAGGTGGTGTAATGCTGTAAGTAAAAGAAGACTTAGGTGCCACCATGAGGGAATGAACACCATGGGATCCTCAGACTCTGTATGGTGCAGCATACTGGCTCAAAATATAGCTAAGAGTGGGAGTATGCTACAGGGCTGACACAGCAGCAGAGGATGCTGCTGACCTGCATTATGTGATCAGTGCAGCATCAGAAACCCAAACTCTTATAATGGGGGACTTCAACCATGAGAATTGATTATTATTAGATGATAGCAGTTTTCTAGTTAAACAAATCTTGTAGAGTATCTTGCACTCTCTTGACAATGGGAGACCTTTGTAATAAATGTTAACCAAAGTTGTCTTATCTTAGAGCTGATGGCAGTCCCTGGTGATGGAGGACCATCAGGGTTGAGCAGTGGTGGCAGCAGCCTGGGTGATGGTCGCTTGCTGGTGGCTGATCTCAGGCATCATAACTTTGATGCCATCCGCTTTGCTTCCTATCGCACCGCTGCCAAGCTCCGCTTTGTACAAAAGAAGACAAATAGTAAGATTCTTGTATAGTTCAGTCTTATTAATTTAACTCAATGATTAGATATGTTAATTATGGTAATGTAAAGTTAATTAAGCAAGTCATACACCATTAGGCAGGGCAACATTCAATATTGGCACCTCAGGGAATTTTTCAAACAATCCCTGAGGGGTCATAGTGGTGTTAGGAAGTCACTGGTGAACATTCATTTCAACCCAGAATAGCCATTAACGATCTATTCACGAGACCTTGAAGGTTCTTCAAACTCTCCCTTAATATCACAAGGGGCCATCAAGGAAGGGCTCTTGCTAATTACGTTAACTTGCTTGGGGACCTGCCCTCAGGCACCTCCAGGTTCTCTCACCTGAGACACCTCACACACTTCCTGACTGTCCCATGTCAGCCAGCAGATGGTGACCTGTTTTTCACTGAAGTTTGTTTAACCTTGTGGAGATTTTAGATTTAGCTTAATTGGTGTCTTATAAAAAATTATTCCAATTGTGAGTCATATTGTGGCAAAATATACTACAGTATATGTATACTGTAGCATAAGATTGTAATGATGATAATGAAATTTGAATAGTCTCATAGAACAGTTGGCTTCATTCTTGACTTAAAATTGTGGATCCCGCATTCAATTCCGTATATATAAGCCTGAAGTATTGATTATGCACAGGTTTCCTGTCCCTACTAAAATTAATTGTGATTCATAAACAGTTACACTATGAAGTACAGTAAAGAAATTTTCTCGGCCTCAGCATTTTATTGTACAACAACCGATTCAAGGGCTTACCTGGTTCAAAATGTCTTTGAATGCACATTTTATGGAGCATAGATCTGATGTAACCATTTAACCTTTTTAATGTCTGAGCTCTCTTAACACTCTATGACAACACGCACTTTCATAACATATAATATATGGTACTCTACTGTACAAGTATATATATTTTTTTTTTAACAGTGCATCGAGTTGATATTTGGAACATCATTGAAGCTTTCCGAGAAAATGGTCTTAATACTCTAGAGCCATACACTGAGGTCAAGGTACGTATATCCAGAAATGTCTTCTAAAATTTACTGTTGTATATTTTTCATCTGTAAAGTATGCATCTGTGTCTAAGACTAAAGAAGTTACTATAAATTTTTGGGTTGTATATTCAGAGATTCTTGTAGGCAGATAGGTTTGTAAGTTAGAAAGATGTTCATGTCCAAAGTATGTGTTATACCGTACATGACTGCTGATGAAAATAAATTTACAAAGATGTTTGAAAAATATAAAGTTTCATGTACTCTTACTAATTAGATTTTCAAATGAGAAAAGGTATTGATCATTAAATATTAAACCTTTAAAACACCAAATACATGCAATGACCCTGAATTTTGCTCAAAAATAACGCTCAAGAGTCATATTTCCAATAGTCATCGTATTTTGAAAACTGCAGGGGAATTTGGGCAAAATGTGACCAATCGCCGTTCTCACTAATTTACATATTTTTGGTATAAAAAGCTGTAATTTAAAACTCCAAATATGTGCAATCATAATAAATTTCGCTAAAAAACAATAGCCATGTGTCATATTTCCGATATTTATTATATTTTGAAGCCTGTAGGTCAATTTGGGCAAAATCTCACCCATTGCCATTTGCACTAATTTGCATATTTTCGGTATAAAAAGTCGTAATATAAAACTCCAAATGTGTGCAATCATAATGAATTCCGCCCAAAACTAACGTCCATGAGTCATATTTCCAATACAGTATTTTGAAAACTGAAGGTTAATTTGGGCAAAATCTCACGCATCCCTGTTTGCACTAATTTGCATATTTTCGGTATAAAAAGTCATCATTTAGAACTTCAAATATATGCAATCACCCTGAATTACGCTAAAAAATAACACTCAAGAGTCATATTCTCGATTGGCATTGTATTTTGAAAACTGCAGAGTTATTTGGGCAAAATGTGACCAATTGCCGTTTTCACTAATTTGCATATTTTCAGTATAAAAAGTCGTAATTAAAATCTCCAAATACGTGCAATCGCCCTGAATTCCACTCAGAAATAACGCTCAAGAGTCATATTTCTGATAGGCATGGTATTTTGAAAACTGCATGGGGATTTGGGCAAAATGTGACCAATCGCTGTTTTCACTAATTTGCATATTATCGTATAAAAAGTCGTAATTTAATCAACCTAATGCTTTTATCTTAAGTTATGCCCAAAATGCACACTGCATATTAGTGGCTTTATGCAGTGTACTTGTTGTACCTATGCATCTTCCTCTGTTCATGTATCATATGTATTTTGTGTAAATAAGTTATTATTATTACTATTACACATAGAAATCACATTATCGTGATACTGTATATCAATGAAAAAATCCGCAGAAACCGTGATGAGGATTCGAACCTATGCGCTGAGTGTTCCCAGATGCATGCTCTAGTCGACTACACCACGACATGGTAAAGGAATTGCAACCTAGGGTACTACTGCACCCGATTCCCGAGACTTCCACTAAAGCCAAACCAGGGTTTCACACAATTCCCCCATGCACTCTGGTTCTGTCGTCCAATAATTCTACCTCTGATACCCCTCTTTCTTCGTGGCATTGTCGACTATAACGTGCATCTGGGAACACCCAGCGCACAGGTTCGAATCCTCCTCACGGCTGCTGTTGATTTTCACCTTATGTATTATTTTTATTTTAATTAGACTATCAAACATTTTGTCATATACAGTACATAGATTTAAGGTAATTTGTTTATATTGTTTGCATATTAAACATTTATATTTTGAAGCAATAACTTTCCACTGCTCACTTAATTTTAAGGTTTTGCATTGTATATACAGTAATAATAATTATTATTATTATTGTTTTAATGAGTTAATTGTAATAGTGAACTCATTTCATATGAGTCACATATAAATTATGTTTATAATTCACGTATTTCCCACGTACAGTGTAAAAATGTTATCGAACCACTTTCTTACTCACTGTTAGGTGTCGAGGCTGGAGACGTTAATATCAACCTTGTATCATAGTTTAAACAAGAGACTCCCAGTGGGACAGAATGTTGTTATTGAGTCATCTACCTCTATACTTCTAAACTGGTTGCTGTCTGCTTATGATAAGTATGTATTTTATGTTATAAATTGTCATAGGTACAGTACTGTAACCTTTTTCACTAATAGATGCTACATCATTTTTATTTTTAAAGTAACACAGTATCAAGTTAACAATAATTGTATTGCAATATAAAGTTTAGTTATCATGGTCATTTCTTTTGCTACTCAATATAAGTTTGGCTTTTATCCTATAGATTATTAATGAATTTTATATGTTAGGACAAACTTTCACTCTAGGAGTCTCGAACTATTGACCTTTTATATCTTTCATCCTTATTATTTCAGAGATGATGAAGGCAAGTTGCGAGTGTTCAGTGTGAAGGTTGCATTGGCTACACTGTGCAGCAGCAAACCTCTTGATAAGCTCAGGTGTAAGTAATTAATCTTTCTAAAGAATATTACTGTACAGTATAATCTGTTTTTGCTAACAGCAAAACTAATTCAGAGTTAATGTGTGTGCGTGTTTGGGAGGAGGGTGGCAGCTCACTTGAATGGAATAATTGGGACTGGATTTGTTCTGTTTTTCCAAGACTTCTGATCCACTGAAAGTTTCACATTTTTTTTTTGTCATTTATTGCCAATTTTTACTTATTTTCTGACCTCAAATGATAGAACACATCTCTATGCATACTGTATGTAAACAACAAAATATTATATGTAAAAACATTTTAAAAATATTTGAATGTAAAATTAGGAAAGATATAATGTTTAAGAAAATTTGAAAAAAAAACTATTTTTTTACTTCTGAGAAAAGGAATGCATGTGTATTGTGCTGTATTCAATACCAAGAAAACATTATAAACTGTCAAATTATTAAATTAGGTAAATCGCTTACAAGCAACCTTATCTAACTCCTTGTGCTTTGATTTAGTGAACATTTTTCACTCTGAATTATTGTTATTTGTTCTACCTCATTTGGCACTTTCCAAACTTGCTCACATTTCTCAATATTTTTAGCCTCCTTTTTTTTCTTGCAACTTCATATTCTTCCTGGTTTGGCACCTTCTTTTGATAATTAATTACTTCACTGTTATGATACAGTACCTCCTCTTCCCTTTCCTGCTTAGCCTGACTTCTCCTTCTGGCAGGCATCTGTTCATCTCATAAATAATTAAATAATTAAATAATTTTGGGTTGCTGCCCGAAACGCTTTGCGTCACAGTGGCTTTAGGCATTGTATGTACTAGCTCTATCTATAAATCCATCAATGTTTGTATTACACCTTGTATGTATGTACTTTACTTGAATAAACATTTGAATTTGAATTCGAATTAAAATCAAAATTATTAAAAATCACTGAGTACCCACCACACGATCACAGAGGAAAACCCTACTTAATATTATTAAGATTGAACAAATCTTATTATTAAGATTGTCCTGGCCTCTGCTATGCCAACCAGGCTAGGATGCTCAGAATGAGGAAGGTCTCAGAGAGATGCTAACTGCTACTAAATCTGAGTTTTAAACCAGCCCTGGAGCACCATGAGGGTATCTAGTAGTAATCTGCCCTGTAATTCAGCCAAGTCCATGATGTGGATATGTGCTATTTGGGTTGCCTTGTTGATAGTCAACATTGTTTAAATTGTGATAATATTAGTTGAATTTATGAGAGATAAAGTTAGCATTTTGGAAAATATTGAGTGAGTTTATAGCACAAGACTAATCTGGCCCTATAGTATTTATACTGTATATACAGTTTATTCTTTACTACACAGTGAATTTATTTTACTAGTTATTGTATCTATTAAGGCAAATAATAGTGGGACCTTCGACAAGCTGCCGGCTTCCTGTCCTAGTTGAGGCCACTAGTGTTAGTGGTTCTATGGTAAACTCGGGTAAATGCAGATATGATTTTGAAAGCAAAGGTGAAGCTGGGAGAGAAGCCAGTGTATAGGATACATATGTAGGGAATGTACTTTGGGGCACTACAATGTAGAGTTATGCTTTTAAACATTTATTCTGAGTAAATTAAAAATGACATTTCTTTAGTTCATTTGGGAGTTCCTTATTTTAGGCCCATTTAATTGTATGGCATTTGTAAAAAAGGTCTCGGCAACTCCTTGAGTGCACTTCTGATACTGCTAAGCCTTAAGATGGTACCAAGCCTCTCATACCTGGATATTCTTGTCAGTGTCTTAAGATTTTGGGTTGCTCCTCAAGCTCCCGTCTTCATTGAAAGTATTAGATTTGTGTTCTGGTTTCTAGTAAGTTAATGCTGGTATCAAAGGCCTTAGTGGTGCCAACACAAAAGCTCAGAGAGTTACAGTACTGAGAAGCCTACCAGAAAAGAAGATTTTCATTACATTCAATGCCTAATTGTTGGTTTTAAATCGAGTTGGACTTGGGGTATGTTGGTGAAGAACTATACAATCCAGTACTGTACAGTACTGTACTTGTGTTTTGTGTCATGTCCATGGGTTCTATTATATATTAAATAATTTTCAAATTTCAACAGATATATTCTCACAGATATCTGATGGCAATGGACACCTTTCACTTAGTCGCTTTTCTGAATACCTGAAGGAAGTCCTTGCGTTACCAGCTGCTGTTTTTGAATCTCCGAGTTTCTCGTACTCAGAAAATTTAGTCACCCATATATTTGATGGGGTAAGTAAATAAATTAAATTTGTTGTAAGCATGTCCTATAACTTGTTGAATTTAAATAATGTCTTACCATTCAGTAAACTTTACTTTTCTTTGCAGTGTTCTCCAAAAATACATGTAGCAGAGTTACATTTTTTCATATACATACTGTACTGTATTTTTATATATTGTTTGCATATATTGCACTTCCTGTACTTTAATTATATTGTACTGAAACAGCTCAACCACATGAGCATAACTGGCATACACTAAACAGAAAACTGTCCCTTAGGGACAAAAACCAAAGGAACAGCAAGGCAAAGTATTAACTGAAAGACAATATCTCTGCAGAGCTGACATATAAAGGAGGTGTATGCCATGCAATAAGTCAGGGGTTGCTTTTGCTTAGGTAGTGGAAATTTACAGAACCGTAATTGGTGTTTGTATTGCCATTTATCACTTGGAGAAGGTGTCGAGTTTATGGGACGTGTCATTTGCCTTGTTGCAAGTCGGTCTATCAAAAGTGGCTTGAGATAAACTCTCCATTGTACTGTATCTCTGACCTAATTATGTTGTAAAGCCATCAGCAAAATCTCATGTCATGGTGGGGTGTTAAGTCAATGAGGTTGGTGTACTCGCCTAGTTGTGCTTGAGGGGGTTGAGCTTCAGCTCCTTGGTCTCGCCTTGGTGTGTGAGCATTTCTCTAAGGTTTCCCCAGCCCACCCCCATTGCAGTTTCTCCTGCAGCCACAAGCCAGATAATGTAACCAGAGCACTCTAATTACACCATCTGGCTTGTGGCTGCAGGAGAAACTGCAATGGGGGTGAGGGGGGGACCTTAGAAAAATGCTTGAAGCTTAATGTATATCTTAAATTTTAAATTTCAATAGTCCAAGGAGACTATCTCTGGCCTAACCAATTAATATTTCAAATACTGCAGTTTTATAAAATATATATACCTGTATATCAAACTATGATAGAATACTAAAGGCAAAATATTAAATACAGTACAATATTGCATTCTGATTGCAATATACAGTGTATATTTAATTGCTAAATGAGTCTGAAAATTTATGATTTTTCAGACTCAATTTATGAGTCTGAAAATATTTAAATATTATGGCATGAGAAGCTTGAGCATATGTTCCACAGGTGTATTATAAATACTGTGATATAAAAGAGATTGCTTTTAAAACCTTTTAATTGGTTAACTTTCTTTTGAGTTTCAGGTAAAGCAAATTAATGTCAATGACTTCTTAGAAGTAGTTTTGGAGGATCCGGGTCCAGAATGTTTGGCATGGTTACCCCTTCTACATCGCCTTGCTGCCTCTGAATCTGGTAAGGCAAATGAAACATACAACAAAAAATATATAATTTTGTACTGTACACATTAAAAAAAATGTTTATTGGGTACCATCTCTGCTTGTATTAGTGAGAACTCCTAGCCTTAGAAAAGATAATATATTTAACCACACAGGGTGTATATGTCACCCTGTCCGCCTTGTGACATACAGGTATACTGTTCAGTAGAGCCTCAATTAACGAATTTAATCCGTTCCATCACTGAGCTCGTCATGTGAAACACTCGTATTTCAAACGAATTTCCCCATTTAACACTATAGCACTCTTCAAACGTGACTTGTGTTTGTTTTTTTTCTCTTGAGTCCGAGCATCGGACATGATGTGCATCCACTAAAAAAATATTTGTATAAAATTCATTTATTATCCAATCGACTTCAGGATAGTTTCAAAATGAGTACCTTTAGATTGCACACAATTTGATACCAATATGAAAGATGTAACACAAAACTTGATGTCAGAACATTTGAAAGATTGTAAATACGTTTTAGGTCAAAATTTTAAAATATTTGTTAAAATTCTATTTATTGTGCTATTATAATGGAACTAGTTTTAAAATGCGCTCCTGTAGATTGTGAACAATATGATACCAAAATGAAAGATGTAACATGAAAATTTATGTCAGAACACTGGAAAGATATAAATAATTTTGTGATGATGAGTGTTCAAAATTAAAATATTTGTTAAAATTCCAGTTATTGCTCTATTAATATGGAAATAGTTTTAAAATATGCGCCTTTATATTGCAAACAATTTGATATCAAAATGAAAGATGTAACACGAAAATTGATGTTATCAAACTGAACGAGTATAAACATTAGGCTGAGGTGTAAAAATTGGTGCTCGTTCAAGGGTAACTTTAGGCTTTGCTGTGGGGAGTCATGCCGGGCTTTTGGACATTATATGCTTATACACTTGCTGGGAATTTAATTGCAAGTACAATGATACCAAAACGAACAATGTTGCATGAGAATTAAGGTGAGAAAACTGAAACGAGTATACACATTTCGGTGTCGCCGGGTGCTCGCCCGCACAATCGCCCGCACGCCAGATGTATGACCTCTAAGTGGGCGGCGCACATGCCCGGGGTTCGAAAGTGTTAAAATAATGGAACTCAAATTAATCCGTTTCACCACCAAAAACATCAATATGATATTCATTTTTTTAAATACGTAATGGAGCAGCCTACCTGACATACATTGAACGAACCTTTATGACATTTTTCTTTTTTCAGATTTGTTAATTTTTGTTTTCATTTTTTATTGAAAATGGAACAGCTTACCTGACATACACTGAACCTTTTTGACATTTGTTCTTTTTTTCAATATTTTTTCATATTTTTTTTTTTACTTTTTCTAAAAAAAAATTCATTGTATTGCAACATCCCAGCATCATTAGCATCTTTTTTTTTAAATCATTTATTTGCATCATCGGAGGCATCCAAGAATTTGCAAGAACCAGCTGGAACGCTTGGAAGCACCACATGGTTTTCTCGTTAATAGAGCAGTAGCTCGTCAATTGAGACAAATTTTCGGTGAGTGGCTCGCCCGTTGCCCGAAATGCTCGTAGATAGAGCCGCTCATCACTCGAGGTTCCACTGTATGTGCACTTCTTTATTGTCTTCTATGACCCCAATTTTTTTGTATTTTGTTTTAAGCTTTATTATACAAGATTAGCTACATTAAAGATATGCAGTAAATGATCAGAAGATGCAAATTTCCTTGATTTTGGAAAAGGTAGCTGCAGATCTCAGGTCTTTTGTTGTTTCAACACGCCTAGAACCAGATCTTTGAGAAACCTCTTGATACTTTATCCCAGGTAGCAAGGGCTCCAAAGCAATGGAGATGAAGTCTTACCGATGTATAAGAGCTCTGTACTTATGGGTCTTAGCTCATTCCATGTGGGTGGCAGCACCACCTGTATGACTAACATAAAAGTCAATGTAGGTATCAGCCAAGGTTGATAAAATCAGGAGCAATTTACTGTATGACCTTCTAAATTGTTTGAAATTTATTGATTCAATTTATTTTATTTAGATTTTACTAGCTTCTTACATTTTTAGTTTATTTTCAGAATTGTTTTAGACATGCTTTATACACTAGGTATTGATATTGAATGGTTGTGGGAAATATATTAAAAATGCGTTGGTGAAAATTTAGATTACTTGTTGAGCAATGTTAGTATATTCCGAAATATCTACTCTGGCTTTTTCTGATACTTAAATTCAATATATTTTGAATTATAGATGCTCTGTGGGCTGTTGAACTGATTGACGATGACTTTGTTGATGAGTGTAAGTGCCGTAAAACTTTCACTGTTCTTGGAGAGTACTGTCGTCACTGCAATTATCACCAAGTAACTTTTTATCGAGAGATACTTAAATATACATTACTTAAATATGTTTTAATATTTACCTGAATATTACCCATGCTAATTATTATGAGCAGGGATTTATAATTTATTAAACATTAGCATAAACCAATTAGCTATGAGATGTTTCATGTTCAATATCTTGGAATGTTTCGTGTTATGCTGTGGGCTACATTATCTGACCACAAAGCTAAAATTGCCTAGTGCTTAATTATTACAACCAAGGATGAAGCATATTTAAAATTTAGAGGTGTATTAATTTTCCAGAGGAATTTAGAAGCCTGTTAGGTTATCATAGGCCAGCGATACAAACCATAATAGTTACTTAACTCTCAGGTGCCTATTTACTGATAGGTGAACAGAGGCATCAGGGGTGAGGAAATGTTCCCAAATATCTCTTCGTGCAAGGAGTCGAGCCAGGTTGTGAGCTGACTGCTCTTTCCACTATACTACCTCACAACCAAATATATTGGCTAAGAACTAGTGTTAGAGTAGCAATGAAGCAATATGATTCAATAGCACAGTAGGCCACATGTATATTAGTTAATAAATGAAAGGCTTTATATAGCAAATACATGTGGATAATTAGCTTTACAGGTATGTATCTGTGTAAAAATACATTGATGCATATAAAAATGTGACTGTCAGTAATGTTGGTTAATGGTAATGACAATTCACTTTTGTTAACGATTTACAACATACAGTATCACTTCCATAAAATTATCCTTAAAATTTTTTTATTTCTTGTTGTATAGAACAAAAGCAATGTTTTAAGACTTTTGGCTGTATCATGAAATAGTAACAACATACTGTATTGTATAATTATATTATCTTTGAACAGAAGATTTTTCTAAACAAATTGTCTTTCTAATTTGAATTACACATATACAGAGGCCATATGTTTTATACTTCAAATAGAAAAAGGATCAAACCAAGATAAATACATATATAAATTGTTGTTATTGAAGCTCATAGATTATTGAATGGTAAAAAGTGGAAAGGTAGCTGTAATATTTAATGATAAATAAAATAAATTATTTTCCTTCATATATAATAACAGGTCATAAAGGAGGGTAATGATTTTAAAGATCTCAAATTTGATTATACCCTGACTGCAGTGCTCTCCGCCACACAATCCTCCGTGACACCCTATAGGAGAGAATGTAAAGCTTGAACAGTCTCTCTTGTCTAATGTGAAAGTGACCCACATAGAAGTCTGGGAATGTGAGATAGTTTTGTAGTGAAACTCCCTCTGCGATGCTTCTTGCCATAGTCAAAGCATAAACCAATAGTCAATATCTAGTGTAAAATACTAACCTTTTTATTAATTTTGAATGCTTGTCATAGTAAAATAGAGTTTAGGCTCATTATTTGGTTTTGTTCCTTATATTATTTATTAAAGTTATTTTCCCATAAGATGCAAAACTCTTACTAAACTTCTTTTTTTCCAGAGCATTTTAGTTATATCAGCTGCCTAATTTGTGTTTGTACGTTTGTCATGAATAAGTATTTCAGTGCAATTTATTTTCTTAGCTTCATCCATGTTTTGTGTATATAATTTTTTTTCAGATTGACCTTGTCATGCTTCCCAAATTCATTAGTTGGGATTGGGGATTTCCTGGTGTACATGCATTTGGAAATGGGTTTCTTTCTGTCAAATACTTTCTCTGGGTATAGGTTTGTAAATAAGTATACTGTATATGGAGGCGAAGGGAAGGAGATAAAATGGAGCAAATAAGTTTGAGTGATTATATGTATTGATAGTAATTATCATCTATATAAATATGGAAATAGGTTCCATAGGTTATAAACCCATGGAAGTGTCTACCCGCCGAAGCCGTAAATGTCAAAACTCTGCTAACTTTTAAAGTATAACTTGAAAAGGTCATCAAGGCAAATGGGGGGGGGGACCTTCGACAAGCTGCCAGCTTCCTGTCCTCGTCGAGATCACCAGAGTTAGTGGCTCTCAGGGGAAAAAAAATTTAAGTACTGTACAGTAATGTGAAAGATGTGAGGGGGTCAGGAGAGGAATGTTTGTGGGGTCAAATAGTTATCAGTGTTGTGTAAAATTAGGATAAGTGGAAGATGAGCACTGGGATCAGAGATAGAATATATATATATTGCAAGTGTCTAAATGTAAGGAAGTTCAAGCAGTAAATTGTAACATTTCAAGAAAGATTAGATTAAATATCCTAGCCTTTGATAGCAAAAAAATTAGCTAACATTGCTAGATCAATTACTTTTTTTTAACTGTAAAGTGTGTGCTAGTGTATACAGTGTAAATAACAAAAAATAATATAATTTGAACTCTAAAGTGAATGTCTTACCTATCCTATTTCAGAAATATAGCATAAAGGAATATTGTTAATATTACAAGTACTGTACTGTAATTAACATTTTAAATACCTGTACTGTATATAATTCTCTACCAATGAGTGTGTAATATATGCAAAATGTGAAGAACTTAGAAGTGTCCTAGGAAAAAATTTTAATTAGGGTTAATTTATAATTTATATACATTTATAATTAGGATTATTTATAATTTGTTACTTCTAGTCATCCACCAGACCATGTGTGATGGGTGCCGGAGAGAAAACTTCAGCGGACTGCGATACAAGTGTGAGAAGTGCCACAACTACAGTATGTGCCAAGAGTGCTTCTGGCTAGGACGCTTCTCTCCCCCTCACTCCATACATCATCAAGTGAAAGAATACACCTCATTTGTATGTTGAAGGCGTGTTATGTCGCAGTTCTTTTATGTTGAACTTCTTTATTTTGGATCCTTGAAATATTTGGTTTGCTTCTCTTACAAGCTTGTCAATTATTGAGGTCTATATCCAGTGCTTGGCTGGAATACTTTTAAGCATCTCATGTTTGGACCAAATAGCTTAATGATTTCATTTCACTGAAGTTGGATATTATTATTTATAATAATAATAATAATAATAATGTAATACTGTAATAATAATATGTAATAATAATAATAATAATAATACTGTACTATTAAATTTATATAAAAGTACATATATTTGATACAGTAAGAAATACTCATTACATAAAGCCACTAACATGCAGAGTGTTTCAGGCACCATGCTCTCTGTGACATGGAAACTGATGTTCATTTGTATTTCAGACACCAACTCGACATTCTTTCCGTCGTAGCTTACGCTGTGTGCCAGACAGGCCATCAGTAGATAGACCAAGGTTTCCTGAGCATCCAGAAAAAACTTTAAATCTTTCTCATATAGTGTAAGTATTGCTTTTCTGGGGTAAGTTATGTAATATTGATATAACAACTCATTCTCCAAAAATCATGTAGTCTATAGCTGTTATGAATGTACAAATTATAGACTGTTGTACTAAAAAAAAAGTTTTTTATACTATTGGAATTCAAAAGGACATAACAAAAATTGAACAGGCTAACCATAAACCAAACCTAACTTGTCCTAGGATGAAATAAACTATCCTAGACCTAACACGTGAAATAATAGGCCTTATTTAGTGCACACATGTTATGTATTAGGCCTATGAAAAGTTAAGATTGCTTGTTACCTTCTATCTTGAGCCCTCTGCAAAATAAATAGTACAAAATATGGACCTTATTTTTATGTGCAACTACAGTACATATTTTGGTTTCATAGTAGATAGAGGTACCATCATTTTTTAATGACAGGTTAAGATATCTGAACCTGTAATAATTACAAAAGAAATAGTTTGTGGCAAAGAGTGGAACTGAGAATCTTAGGATATATTGAGGTATCATTTCACAAATGGTTTGAGAGGTGCCATGTAATAACTACAGTAATTACCCATATTTTAGCATTTGCTTTGTTTTTCACCATCATTACTCTTAGCTGTTTCAGTGCCAGTAGAAACAAATTACTTTGACTGCTAAATGAACTTTATTCTGAGACATTTATCTCTCTCACTGACACACATTTTCTATGTCTACCATTAATTACATTAACTTATTCTTCAGGAGCTTTATTGGGATTAATGTACGCAAACCTAGGCAGCTGCACTTCATAGTCTTGCCAAGAGCATCAAAATGGCACCTCTCAAACTATTTTTGAAATGACACCTCAATATATCCCAAGATTCTCAATTCACTCTTTGCCACAAACTGTTTCTTTTGACATTCAAGTCATTTACCAAGTAGATTACTGCATATGGGTGCTGTCATTTTATCAATAAATATTAAATTAGTTAATTGTTCATGTATAAGAATACTGTATATGGAAATTGCTACAGACCTTGGTACTATCAATAATACCATTATAATTTGTGCTTACACTGCAGGCGATGAGTCACAATAACGTGGCTAAAGTACGTTGACCAGACCACACACTAGAAGGTGAAGGGACGACAACGTTTCGGTCCGTCCTGGACCATTCACTATCGACTTGAGAATGGTCCAGGACGGATCGAAACGTCGTCGTCCCTTCACCTTCTAGTGTGTGGTCTTGTCAACATGCTTGTGCTTACACTCTTACTGTAATTGGTCATATATTACATGTGTATGTATAGTATGCATGAATATGTATACTGTTCTACAAGCTGCTACAGGGAATATTCTGCTCCAAAAGATAAGAACAGGTGTTGTTTTCTGCAGGTTAAATACCAGAATTATGATGTAGGGTTAGGATTTCCATATAATTTTGCCCAAACTAATAATCTTCATCAATGTCCAGTTGATCAGTTTGTCTTAAAATGCATTTGTATATGACTGTGGGTGCATGTAACTCAATCAACTCGTTTCTGCAGTTTTGATTATACCTTTTCTGCTATTATTTGCTCTTTAAAGTCTGAACCTACTTTTCTGGTTCCATTTTCCCTTACCTGTTGCCTTGTTCTCACCATTTAGTATATAAATTAACTTGATGTAACAGGTGTGATTGGATCAGCTTTAGTTAGATTTAGATAGCTTAATTAGATAACAAGCCAGAATTTAACAGTGGAAAAATTGATCTGTAGCAAAGGTATAACAATTTACATTAATTTGCAAAATTAAATATTAGGAAAGATTTGGTGTTTGTTTACAGACCTCCATCACCTCTCCCTACACATAATGGTTTTGAAGGAGGAGCTTCAGCACCTCCACCTACCTCCTTGGATAGTCGTTCATCCAGCAGAAGGTAAGTTATGTCACTGAATGCAGAAAATGTACTGAGCATGCTTCATTAACATTTCCTCATCTTCTACTAATATGATCTCAATGTAGTTTCAAAAATGCAGTTTTTTATAAAGACTAATCATTTAAGATTGTGCATTGGTTAAAATTCATCCTAAAGAATCTTACTAGTGTCACTAATCTCATTACTTCTCTGCAAGTTGTGTTAGCAGCTTACCAGACTGGAGTCAGCTGGACGAAGAGCACCGGCTCATTGCCCACTATGCTGCTCGACTTGCTAACCAAACTTCACAGTCAGTAAGTCCTCCCAAGTCTAATTATCCCTCCATGAACCTTCATTCTCCCTTCTTACACCTTTGCCTGGCACAGTTCTCTATTTTGTCTCTTGTCCAATTTACTGTATAAAATATATATTGATGGAACCAGGGGCCAGATTCACGAAGCAGTTACGCAAGCACTTATGAACCTGTACATCTTTTCTCAATCTTTGGTGAGGTAATCTCACTCAATCTTTGTTTACAATTATTAAACAGTTAATGAGCTCCGAAGCACCAGGAGGCTGTTTATAACAATAGCAATAGTTGATTGAGAAGTTTTTATGCTTGTAACTTGTTTAATAAATGTAACCAAAGCAGTCAAAGATTGAGGAAAGATGTATAGGTTCGTAAGTACTGTACTTGCGTAACTGCTTCGTGAATCTGGCCCCAGCTTCTTGAGAACAGTTTGTTTCTCTTTGCTGAGTCACTTATTTATTGTGTGTGTGACACATCACAGTAAGACTTTTCTCAAAGTAACCCATTCCTATCACTGAGTGCATACACTACATTATTGCATTATTTTGTTGCTTGCTTAAGAAGAGTATTGTGTATCTACTATACCCATTTATATAACATGGGTATACAGGTATATTTATATAATGTTTTCGTCCCTTCACTTTCTAGTATGTGGTTTGGTCAACTTGTATATATAAATCTGTGTATATAAAACAATATACACAGATCTCTCAAAATTTTCCTTTTTGTAACATGAGTGAGTTCTTACAGGACTGGAAACAAGATCATTCTCATATCATCTCTATTCTTTATCCTCTTTCCATGAGATGTGGATTATAAATATGAGAAAAGGTTTACAAATCCTCCAAGTGAAAATGGCTTTATCATACACTGTTAAAAAGATACAGATAAAGATATAATTTCATTATGAAAACTTAGGGAAACAATTTTGTGCTGTGTTTCATACATTTTGTAAGAATTTTAATAGTTTATTAAATTTGATATGGCACAATGAAATGCTATACTGTATTTTGATACACAACACTTTTGAGGAAGAAGTATTGTTTCACATTGTGAATTATGAATTCAATAAATTTGTGATCTCATCAAATTTTGATGAGATAGATCAGGCAGTGTAAAGAAATATTGTTATTTTGCTGAATTAGATCTATTTAATTGAATATATATATAATAATATACAGTGGTACCTCCGTTTTCTAATTTAATCCGTTCCTAGAGACGGTTTGTAAACAGAAAATTTGTAAACCGAAACAGATTTTCCCATAAGAAATAATGTAGATTGATTTAATCCGTTCTACACCCCAAAAATATTAACAAAAATACATTTTATACTTACTACTACTTATTTTTTGTACTACAGTATGGACAAGTATATAGAGTCCTTTAAGTGTGACTCTTGTTGGCATATGGAAAACAGTGAGGAAGAGGGAGAAGGAGAGGTGTTAGTGTTGGGAAGGGAAGTCCCCTTCCATTGTAACATCAAGCAGTGATGACTTTTCTGGGGTACCCTCTCTCCTACGTTATGCAGGCATACCACTAGGACCTGGTTATAGCTTACTAGCTTACTGCTTGCTTGCTTGTTTTCCCCTACATTTTAACACTTGTCTGTAGTGAGACATCACATTGTCATTAAAAAGGTCAATACATAAATATATATATATATATATATATATATATATATATATATATATATATATATATATAAATATATATATATATATACAGTGGAACCTCTATTAACGAGTTTAATCCGTTCTGGCACCGAGCTCGTTACCTGGAAAACTCGTCTTAAGAAACAAATTTCCCCATTTAAAATAAAGGAAATAAATTTAATCCATTCCACTCCCAAAAACAAATCTATACTTGTATGACTTTTTTTTATGTAAATATAATACTGCACATGTATATATAAATGTTTTGTTGTAGTGTTTTAATATTTACTTTACCTTATGAAGAGTAGTTGCTGGCTGGAGGGAGACGATGGGGAGGTGGGAAGGAGGAGAAGGGTTATGGTGTGGAAGGAGAATCCACCTCTGAGTCAGGCGGACTCTCTCTTCTTGAGAATTTCACCCAAATTTCATTTCAAATGTCACACAAGGATGCGTTAGACCAGCACCAAATAAAAAACTACGTCAATTACACTCGTTGTGTCAACAATATAATAGTCTTACCACGAAGATACAATACAATGCCGTTTTCTTAAATAGGCAATGTGGTTATTAAAGAAAATGGAAATTTCATGGCAAACATGTATACAATTCCCAAGTCGATCGGATAAGAATTGGATTTTTTATTAATATTTGCTCAAATGACGCTTGAGCGCGGTGTTTGGGTGCATTCAAGAGAAAAAAGTGTGTCACGTTCAAGCGACATAACTTTCATAAAGTGTTATCAAAAGTGATAAATTAATTAAACATTTTCACACACCGGGTTGTCACTGCTTTATCAGGGCAGCTTTTCCAAGAATGCGTTCACCTTTTCAAACATTCCAAACACTTCCCTGATCTCAGTGGAAGAGGCAGCATCCTCCCTTACCTCCTCATTCCCTTACTAATGGTGTAAATTGTTGATGAGGACCTGCCATACTCCCTTGTGAGATCAATCACACAGACACCACACTCATGCTTTGCTATAATTTCCTTCTTTAAATCCACAGTAATTGTGTCTTTCTTCCTCTTGACAACACTATCTTTAGCAAGCAGCTTCTTTGGAGATAGCGTGTGTTACAAATTGTAGTCGCAAAACCAAAAACCCAAAGAAAAGCTCAAATAAATCCAGAGGGATGCTTGTCGTGTGCAATACAACAACACTGGCGTCGGAGGCGTCCGAGAATTTGCGAGAACCCGCGAGATGCTAGGAAGCACCATGTGGTTTTGCTTGTTAATAGAGACGAGCTCGTCAATAGAGACAAATTTGCTGCGAGTGGCTTGCTCGTTACTGGAAAAACTCGTTAATAGAGTCACTCGTTAATCGAGGTTCCACTGTACCTAGTAGCCAGAACTCACTTCTCAGCCTACTATGCAAGGCCCGATTTGCCTAATAAGCCAAGTTTTCATGAATTAATTGTTTTTCGACAACTTAACCTACCTAACCTAACCTAACCCAACTTTTTCGGCTACCTAACCTAACCTAACCTATAAAGATAGGTTAGGTTAGGTTAGGTAGGGTTGGTTAGGTTCGGTCATATATCTACGTTTATTTTAACTCAAATAAAAAAAAATTGACCTCATACATAATGAAATGGGTAGCTTTATCATTTCATAAGAAAAAAAATAGAGAAAATATATTAATTTAGGAAAACTTGGCTTATTAGGCAAATTGGGCCTTGCATAGTAGGCTGAGAAGTGAGTTCTGGCTACTAGGTACGACATATATATATATATATATATATATATATATATATATATATATATATATATATATATATATATATATATATATATATATATATATATATATATATATATATATATATATACAGTATATATGTTGTACCTAGTAGCCAGAACGCACTTCTCAGCCTACTATGCAAGGCCCGATTTGCCTAATAAGCCAAGTTTTCATGAATTAATTGTTTTTCGACTACCTAACCTAACCTAACTTTTTCGGCTACCTAACCTAACCTAACCTATAAAGATAGGTTAGGTTAGGTTAGGTAGGGTTGGTTAGGTTAGGTCATATATCTACGTTAATTTTAACTCCAATAAAAAAAAATTGACCTCATACATAATGATATGGGTAGCTTTATCATTTCATAAGAAAAAACTAGAGAAAATATATTAATTCAGGAAAATTTGGCTTATTAGGCAAATCGGGCCTTGCATAGCAGGCCGAGTACGACGTTCTGCCTACTAGGTACAACATATATATAATATATTTATATATATGTATGTATATATATATATATATATATATATATATATATATATATATATATATATATATATATATATATATATATATATAATTTATTTATTTATTTGAACCCACAATCGAGAATTCTGGTTCAAATCCTGAGCTGGATAGAAATTGTTAGGGTGCATTTCCTAGTAGTTCTTAATAACTGATATACAATGACTTACCTGGCACATCACATTCTATAATTTATACACTTGTTTGTCACTCTTAGTTACTTTGTGTAGTATAATTTATGCTATCAATTATACTTGGACTGAGAATTTTAAATTAATTTAAAGATCACATTATTCCGTCTTTCCCAATCATCTAATTGTCATACGTGGCAGTTATATCCTTGCCATGGTACAGTATTTGCCTTTGCTGTCTATTATTAATATTAATCTATTATTTCAATATGTTTAAATTTAATTTTTATGCTGAAGTGAGTTACAGTTTATACTTATTTTCCAATTTTTTTTTATTTTCTTATATCAGTCATTTTTTTCAGGGCAGTGAGAGTGTTGACTCCAGCCCAGGATTTGATGCCTCTTCAGCACAGCGTGAACTTATCCAATCACTTGAGGCAAAGAATAGGGATATTATGAGAGAGATTAATGCTCTAAGGTAAAATAATAGTTACTGTATTTGGTAATGGGTGTTGATCATTTCTTCATTTTCAAAGCCCCATTATTAATAATGGTTGATGTGCCATAATATTCCTCCCCTGATATTTAAATTGTAAGGAAAGTACAGTATTATTACCCCAAAAGACAGCACATCTCTACAAATTAAGTTGGATTTCAGGAACAGAGTGTATGTTTGCAGGCGACAGCAGGAGCGCGTGGAGGGTAGCAGCAACCCGACATTGGTAGCAGAGCTGAGATCCCTTCGGTCACATCGTCATGAGTTAGAGTCAAACCTTTCCTACCTCCAAGACTCACGCAAGCAGCTGATGCAGCAATTGGAGAGTCTTATGAAAATGCTCAAGGTAGGTATAGTATAATAATTTTCTTATTATTAATTAGATATAGTAATTGAAAAACAGCATATTAAATTTTCAGCAGATAAAATATATAATAAAATATCATAATAATATGTGAAGGATTTATGTTAGAAATACAGTATGAGTCATTCTGTATAGTAACAAGTGCCTTGTAAGAAACTGATGTACAAAAAATAGAAACGAGAGTACTGTGAAACTGGAGTACTGTACAGTACAGTATAGTGCTATAACTGTATATTTTTTAATAAGAATTGTTTTAAAAGCCCTCTCAGTAGCTTCCTGTAGCTTATTTGCTGGTACCACTAAACTTGAGGACCATGTTCGACCTCTGAGATCCATGCTGACCTACCTAAACCCAAGACTAAAATATTATTTTCTCAAAGGGGCAATGAGTGCATAGGGATCAGAGATTGACCCAAAACTTACTAAAGTCAATGAGAAAGTCGGGCAAAATAAACCACTACTTGAAGGAAAAAAAGTTAAATGTTGAAAACCTACATCACTCATGAGCTGCTAGTATGGGACCCTCAAAAATACCATAGACAAGATGGGAAAGATGGACCAAAATGTGGTCACTTCCTTTATTTTTAGATTTGTGGGTTGGGTGTCTAATTTTCAACCACATTGTGGTTGAAATTGTTCCTGATAACATATTTAACACTTTCGCGTTCCACAGACTGAATAATTCGTCACTCATTTTTCTACTGAATGTGTTCCAACGACGCAATACTGAGTCACTCATTACAATATTTTTTAAAAATTTAAATTTTATCAGATCAATCTGGTAGTGGTTTTAAAATAAGCGCCTTTAGATTGCACACAATTTGATACCAAAATCAAAGATATAACATGAAACTTGATGTCCAAACACTTGAAATATTATAAATAGGTCTATGGTCTGAATATTAAAATATTTGTTAAAATTCTATTTATTGTCCTATTATCTTGGGACTTGTTTTAAAATGTGCGCCTTTTTATTGCGAACAATTTGATACCAAAATGAAAGATGTAACACAAATATTTATGTCAGAACACTGGAAAGATATAAATAAATTTGTGATGATGAGCGTCCAGAATTAAAATATTTGTTAAAAATCCAGTTATTGCTCTATTATTCTGGGACTAGTTTTAAAATAATCGCCTTTTTATTGCGAACAATTTGATACCAAAATGAGCGACGTAGCACGAAATTTGATGTTATCAAATTGAACGAGTTGAACATTAGGGTGCAATGTACAAAATGGTGCTCGTTCACGGGTAACTTTAGGCTTTTCTGCGGGGAGGCACTCCAGCCTTTTGTACATTTTATTCATACACATCTGTAGGGAATTTAATTGCGAACACAATGATACCAAAACGAGCGACGTAGCACGAGAATTAAGGTAAAAAAATGGAACGAGAATGCACATGTTACTGATTTTGTGCGTTTTTGCCGACTTTACGCTTTGCTGTTGGGAGTCACGCTAGGCTTTTGGACATTATATTTATACACACCTGTAGAGAATTTAATTGCGAACACAATGATACCAAAACGAGCGACGTAGCACGAGAATTAAGGTGATAAAGCTGGATCGAGTATACACATTTGGGTGTCACCGCGCGCTTACCCGCATGGAGGGGCCACCTACCCCCTGTCAACCGCGAGTTTCCACGGAGCGCGAAAGTGTTAATAATTCAATTTTTCAGTGGATAAGGCAGCCTATGTTTGTACTGTAACATACATAGTATGTACAGTAACATACATAATATGTACAGTAACATACATAGTATGTACAGTAACATCTATAGTATGTACAGTAACATCCATAGTATGTACAGTAACATCCATAGTATGTACAGTAACATACATAGTATGTACAGTAACATACATAGCATGTACAGTAACATACATAGTATGTACAGTAACATCCATAGTATGTACAGTAACATACATAGTATGTACAGTAACATACATAGTATGTACAGTAACATACATAGTATGTACAGTAACATACATAGTATGTACAGTAACATCCATAGTATGTACAGTAACATACATAGTATGTACAGTAACATACATAGTATGTACAGTAACATACATAGTATGTACAGTAACATACATAGTATGTACAGTAACATCCATAGTATGTACAGTAACATACATAGTATGTACAGTAACATACATAGTATGTACAGTAACATACATAGTATGTACAGTAACATACATAGTATGTACAGTAACATACATAGTATGTACAGTAACATACATAGTATGTACAGTAACATACATAGTATGTACAGTAACATCCATAGTATGTACAGTAACATACATAGTATGTACAGTAACATACAGTGGAACCTCGATTAACGAGTGGCTCTATTAACGAGTTTTTCCAGTAACGAGCAAGCCACTCGCAGCAAATTTGTCTCTATTGACAAGCTCACCTCTATTAACGAGCAAAACCACATGGCGTTTCCTAACATCTCGCGGGTTCTCGCAAATTCTCGGACGCCTCCGACGCCAGTGTTGTTGTTGTATCGCACACGACAAGCATCCCTCTGGATTTATTTGAGCTTTTCTTTGGGTTTTTAGTGGTTTTGCGACTACAATTTGTAACACATGATGTCTCCAAAGAAGCTGCTTGCTAAAGATAGTGTTGTCAAGAGGAAGAACCACACAATTACTGTGGATTTGAAGAAGGAAATTATAGCAAAGCATGAGTGTGGTGTCTGTGTGACTGATCTCACAAGGGAGTATGGCAGGTCTCATCAACAATTTACACCATTAGTAAGGGAATGAGGAGGTAAGGGAGGATGCTGCCTCTTCCACTGAATTCAGGGAAGTGTTTGGAATGTTTGAAAAGGTGAACGCATTCTTGGAAAAGCTGCCCTGATAAAGCAGTGACAACCCGGTGTGTGAAAATGGTTAATTAATTTATCACTTTGTGATAACACTTTATGAAAGTGTTATCACTTTCACAGGTATATGTCGCTTGAACGTGACACACTTTTTTCTCTTGAATGCACCCAAACACCGCGCTCAAGCGTTATTTGAGCAAATATTTCTATAAAATCCAATTCTTATCCGATCGTCTTGGGGATTGTATACATGTTTGCCATGAAATTTCCGTTTTCTTTAATAACCACATTGCCTATTTGAGAAAACGGCATTGTATTGTAGCTTCGTGGTAAGACTATTATATTGTTGACACGAGTGTAATCGACGTAGTTTTTTATTTGGTGCTGGTCTAATGCATCCTTGTGTGACATTTGAAATGAAATTTGGGTGAAATTCCCAAGAAGAGAGAGTCCGCCTGACTCAGAGGTGGATTCTCCTTCCACACCATAACCCCTCTCCTCCTTCCCACCTCCCCATCGTCTCCCTCCAGCCAGCAACCACTCTTCATAAGGTAAAGTAAATATTAAAGCACTACAACAAAATATTTATATTTACATGTGCAGTATTATATTTACATAAAAAAAGTCATACAAGTATGGATGTTTTTGGGAGTGGAACGGATTAAATTTATTTCCTTTATTTTAAATGGGGAAATTTGTTTCTTAAGACGAGTTTTCCAGGTAACGAGCTCGGTGCCAGAACGGATTAAACTCGTTAATAGAGGTTCCACTGTACATAGTATGTACAGTAACATACAGTACTGTACATTATGTACAGTAACATACATCGATACCAACATTAGGTTGGTATCGAGCCTCCCATATTCCCCGCAAAGTCGAACTACCAACCCTTCCCAGGATGCAAATCCACTACAGTTGACTAACTCCCAGGTACCCGTTTACTGCTGGATGAACAGTGGCATTAGATGAAAGAAAATGTGCTAAACCATTTCAGTCCTACCCAAGATTCGAAACATGAGTAGCCATGGGCTTGGCTACCTATGTTTCGAATCTTGGGTAGGACAGATGGAAGCCACTTTTACTTCCTTAAATGAAATCCAGAAGGAAAGAACTGAGGTACAGTTCAGGTGACAACATGAGTGGCAACTAAAGCATGTGTGTCTAACAATGTTTCTCATGATTTGAGAGATTTCTTCTGTTTCATCTGTCACACAACCACCGACCTTCAACCCGATATATTTAGATCATGGTAATCTTCGCATCCAATGGATGAACAATCATCATTTCTCATGATAAATAAGAGAGCCTAGGACCAATGACCCAACCTAAGATGAAGTCACAAGTCATGGCCAAGGTTGAGGTACAACTCAAAAGGAGCTGAACCATGCTGAAGTCTACCCAAAACCACCTCAGTGAAGGTAACTTTAAAGTCATCAGTCCCTGACAATCAGTCCCTGACTTGGAGCGGCCTGCGGGCCGCTCCAAGCAACAGCCTGGTGGACCAAACTCTCACAAGTCGAGCCTGGCCTCGGGCCGGGCTTGGGGAGTAGAAGAACTCCCAGAACCCCATCAACCAGGTATCAACCAGGTATCAACCAGTACCATTGAAGACAACCTTGAAATTAATTGAAGCAGATAACTATAGTCAGAAAAATGCAAGTGACTAGGCAAAACCAAGAAATGAGCATTAAAATTTGGACCCTCTGATAGTAGAAGTGTTGAAGAAATATCAGTCAATTTAATGCATGCATGGGAAAGGAATGACCACCATTGCCACTGCACTTGCAAGTGCAAGTGACAGTTACCTGCTCCTCCAATGGGTATGGTAACTTGTGTTGTCATCTGGTGGTGGTAAATGCAGTGGCTTGTTGCTAACAGATAATTACCAAAACAATAAATGCGTTTCTTTGGTAATTCCAATCTTTGCTTGTAAGGGTTTTTGACCAATCGCTCAGTGGTGAATTGAACTAGACTCCCCACTCTCTCCCTTTCCCATCTGTAAGTGGCAATACCAATTGCAGAATTCCTTGTCAGGTTGGGAAGTCAAGTCTTCTAATGCCTGGCAGGTGAATTGAATCCTAGGATTATTATTTAACTTCTGGCTTGGGAAGCAGCTGACAAAACTAAACTTAGAAATACAATTTGCTTTTTAAAAGGTAAGTTAAATTTACAGATTTTACCACTTTTGTATTATATGGAATACAGTATTTAAAATGCATTGTTTACATATCATTTGTGTGTGTTCTCTCATTTACAGGGAGAAAACTCCCCAAAATTTGGTGATAAATGGTGAATAAATTACAAAAATATTGATAGCCAGGAAACCTTGATAGTCCACACTGAGGTCTGGTCAGAATTTGTTCCAACTATCAAGGTTCCACCTTCAATAAGATGTAATCATTCTACAGCATTTCTTTTCTTATGTTTGTTATTCTTGAATAATTATTATTATGTTACTCTCAGAATCATCAAACCTCACCCACGACTCCAAATGGATCACCAAAATCACCACCCTTTTCTACGAGTGGAACAGGTGGTAGTAGTGTAATGTCAAACCTTCCCAGCGGGACACAGGGATCCGTGGCTTCATCGCGCTCGGCTCCGGCAACGCCCTCACATACAGCTCAAGTATCAACTTTAGATTCTCTTTCTTCACTACATGTTGATGGCCTACAGTCAGCAGTTTCTTCAGGTATATTATGCATGTTTGTTATTTGTGTTTTACTAAATACTAAAACATGTGTTTTCTATAGGTGATGAACAAGAACAGAGAAAGCAAAACAGAATGTCACAGACTATTCTTAAGAATTGTATTGTAGTAAGATGCTTTGCATAATTATCATTGACTATTCTTAAGAATTTGAACCATAAGCTTCACTTAACATAACCCTTGGTTAAAGGAAATAAGAAAGGCTTATGCATATTCAGAGCTTATTTCTTTGAACATGCTCTCTACTGGTTGTCAGAGAACAATTAGGATGGATGGTCTGACAGACATATTTAAGGGTAAAATGATGTTCTGAAGAGGAAAGAGGATGACTAAGTGTTGGCTTCGATTTAAATCGTTTGAACTACTTTCAAGTGTTCTGGCCCAAAACCAAGCTTTGAGGACCAATGCTTGCTACATCTCTCAAGCCCAACATGTGATCTTTTACACTACACTATGTGTGTGATCTTCACTTCATGTGATCTTCATGTGATATTTTGACTGTGACCCTATTTCCTGTGCATTGTCCTGTGCAAATATTGAGCTACCAATATTTGAATTCAACTATTCAATATATATTTATAGTAATTTAAACCACCATATATTGGATTTATTTTTTCTGTCTGTTTATCAATTATTAATGTAAATGTTGTCTATTTTCAGTATTCTCAAGTGCTGGGTCAAGTTGTACTCCAGACAACTCTCCTGATGATAGTCTAGCTTCTCGCAGTCTAAGAAATGATCTTTTAGTTGCAGCCGATTCTGTCACAAATGCCATGTCCAGTCTTGTTCGGGAGTTAAATTCAGGTCAGTATGAAGAGCCTTAATACTTAGTATTTTGCAGTTATTTTATATATTCCATGAGAAAAGGTACAATATGATAGCCTAGTATAAATCCTTTAATTAAAAAAAATGATGATCGCACTAAAGTTCCATTATTAGACAACATTAAACTGAATATTATTATGATATTCTCTGTTTTCTTCTCATTTATTCACAGCCCTTGACTACAGTAGTAAAATGCTTATTGACTGCTAGCCTGTCCATCATGAAGGATTGTAATGGACATTAATTTTTTAAGTCAATAAGGGTAAAATGATGTCATTTAATAATGTCTATAATTATTTTTAATATTTTCATGGTTAATTGGAAGTATATGATTGAATAAATAGGCTAACTATGTTGTATGTATTGATTGTTACTTTAAAAGGGAAAATTACAAAAGAATAGGGGTAAATACTTTTCTGAAAAGAGTGAGGCTTTCTTCAAAGTGCAAAAAGGTCATATTATATGCTGAAGATTAGAAATACTGTACGTAGTACAACAAAAGTTTGAGTAGCATTACTGAATCAAGGCTTGACATTAACTTTTGTGAAACTACAATAATTAAAGTGGATCATTTTATTTATATAAATTTTCCCTGAACACATGTGATACAAATTTGGAGAATTTTTGTTCATTTTTAGAATCATTAATGGAATTAATAAAAAAAAAATTGATGAAAATCTTTAAAGTGTTAGAAATATTATGAAAATATTTTTCACCTTTTAAGATTGAAGCAGTTTTATTTATAACCCCAAAGCATCAACAAATGCAGTTTATTCATTTTAATGTACAGTTCTGTTAGCTTGATGTTGCTTCTGTCTACCCATCAACTTCACTTTGTCATCTAAGTTCTTCACTCAAATTTTTAGGACTAACATTGGCACCAATATTGCTCATTCAGTGGCATATTCTTTCAAAAGTACTTTCATTAATAAGTACCTTATTAATGAACAATAAGTACCTTATTAATGAACAATAAGTACCTTATTAATAAACACCTTGAAATGTGTTGCAAAAATTGGAAGATGAAAAAGGAATTTAAAGTAATTATATATATGTAAATAATATATTTATTGTCTTAAAGGAAATATGGGGCTAGTGAAATATGTTCAGAGGCAAGTCAAAATTACGTCACATTTTCTATATGGTATAGAAAAAGATCAAGCGTTGAATGTAATGCAAACACCCTTTTCAAGTAGGTCCTCGGTAGTTTACTGGCACAGCTAAGCCTAAACATTGTGCTAGGCCTCTTGACCTGCACTGACCTACCAGGAGAAGGGCTTCCTCTACAAGGTGATGGGAGCCTAAGGATTAAAGATCTACCAAAAAACTGAAGAAATCCAACTGGAAAGTCAGATGAAATAAAATAAAGCACTATTGGAAAGAAAACGTAAAATAGATGAAAACAAGGTTAATTATCACCAGGCCTTGCAGTGCCAACAGAGTCCAATGCACCGCCCAAGGGTGAGGCAACTCAAATGGAGGACTCATAAAAAAGGAACCCAAACCCCCTCAGATTAGCTATTTTTAGTGAGGCGAGGGAGACACATGCCGAGAAACCAGGGAATAGAAATAGAATTGAATATTTTTGCTTAACAAATTTGAAGCAAGATATTAAACTGGGAACACAAGATGGGCGATGTACAAACAAAAACAAAAACACAGCAATGTTTTTGTTTTATAACAAAAAACAAAAATTCATAACAAAAATAATAACAAAAATTCCAAGGCTAGCCAACACTACTTACCTATACCAAAAAGGCCATATTAGTCCCTGCAGCAACCAACCAATCCATGCAGTACCAGGCAAGTGAGTAAGATAGGTGGCATACTAGTCCTTGGAATGTCATCTATTGGCATTTGAGGGAGTAGGGACAAGAGTTGTTGACCCACACAAAACTACTGTTTGCTTTGCATTCACCATTTAATTTTGTTCAAGGAGTGTTTTCATCTGACTTTGTGATTAATTTTTCAATAATGGGTAGATCTCTGATTTTCAAGCTCTCATCACCTCATGGAGACAGCCAAATTATGAGTCCTGGCATTTGTTAGGTCAGTGTGGGTCTCGGAAACCAGGCACAATATTTTGGCTTAGTCATACCAGCATATAGTACCAGGGCACTACCGAATGGGCCGTCCTTGAAATACCCATTAAAACTTAATGTCTCCCTGCACTGTACTGTACTTTTGTCATGTACTCAGTAAGGGTATTATAGGTGTTCAGTATAGCTACAGTTGAGCACTACTCTGGCTCTGTATCAACCCTCAGTGGATATAATCAAACTGCCTTTATACCCCACTTGTGATCTATGACATGTGGCTTGCCTATCTATACAGGATGGTTCCATTCATTAATCTGGACAATTGCACATAATAGTTTGTACATGAAAACACTGCTGTAGAACCATGATGTCTAAGGCTCATGCTCGGACCTTTTCACTGGCTATATTTCAGGTGACTTTTGATATGATGAAATAAATTTCAATAAAGTGTTGAATGTAATGGAATGCTCTTTTCTGATATGTCCTCAGTAGCTCCTAAGTAGCTCCAGAGCAGCTTGTGGGTTTGTACCACAGAGCCTAAGGATCATGTCTCAGACCACTGAGGACCTACACTGACCTACCAGGAGCCAGGATCAAAATCTGGCTCTCTCTACAAAGTGAGGGTAACTGGGAGATCAGAGATCAACCCAAAACTGAGATAACTGACTAGAAAGTGCATACAAACCAAACTACTGCTTGAAAGAAAGGAAGGAATGAAAATTAAGGAGATTATACAAATGATAGTTTGTGGCAGGTGAAAACTCTTGCCGTAATTTTCCCAGATGCTACCAGATGGTAGTGTAGTCCATGCAGGGTCCTGGCCCACCAGTTACCTCACTCAAATGATTCCAGTACAATACTGTACCTCAAAAATCTCCATGTGGATGAAAAGACAGTGTGGGTATGAGGAACTACTGAGAGCCTACCAGAAAAGTGATTCATTACATTAAATAAGTAAATAATATTCAATGTGATTATTTACAGCATATCAGTAGAGGAGAATGACAGTGCTGAATGAGAACATAGGAGTAGCAGAATCAGAAAGCCAACAGAAGGGCCTACCCATGGAGAAGATTTCTAAGGAGCAGGGCTTGGGGTAATAGAGCATTAATGGTGTGTGGCAGAAGCCTAAGTGCCACAGTCACAGTGAGGCTCTTCAAGAAGCAGCGAAAGATGAACATCTGGCTGGGCTGTGAAAAACCATGAGCCCAGGTTTTACTCATCATATGAGTGAATAACACTGTCAAAACAGCAAACCTCTTCATAATATGAGAGTGACAACAGACCAGTAACTTGTCTAACCGAACAACCCTCCAGAAGGTCTGGAATAACCAGGCCCTGGAGTAAGGGACTGGAAATGCAGGGCAAAGAAATTAAGCATTTCTTTGAGCAGCATGAGTAATGTACAAAAAGGCCACACAGTTGTCACCATTAAAACAGCCAGATACAACCTAACCGTCCTGAAACATAATCCAGGGTTAAAAAGCAGGCAAAGAAAAGGAAAACAAGTCGAGGACAGAGGACTGGGAATGCACTAGTAATCCAAGGATACCCAAGAAGGGCTGGGATACACTGGGCTGAGCAGAGCTAGGAATACATAAAACCAAAAAGAAGGGGCAGATTATAACAGTTGAAGATGAAACAGGTGAAAAGAACCAACAGGGCAAACACCAAGAGCCTATTCACAAGAGAATGGAGCAGCAAACCTGAGAACCTAGAGTTAACAGCCTAAGGATCCAGCCACCCAGATCAGAGACCTGGAGCAGTGAATGGAAAAGTGTGAAACACCTGGCCAAAAGGTATAAATCACTTGGCCAAAAGGTGCAGAGCACAGTCCACACAACAAGTTGTTTACCAATGGCAAACAATACTTATTTTTGTTTTCCTCATTTTCATTTCTTTCTTTCAAATAGTGGCTTGTTTTGTTTGTACACACTGGTCAGTTTCCTCAGTTTTGGGTTAATCTATGATTCCCAAGCACATCTTCCTTTGTATAGAAAGCCAGATTCTGATCGTGGCTCCTGTTAGGTCAGTGTGGGTTTTAAAAGCTTGTCACTGTCCTTAGGTTTAGCAGTATCAGTGTCTAAGCATTGGGGAGCTACTGAGGCGACCTTCCCAGAAAAAAAATGCCTTGAAGTGAGAGAGATTTTGATGTGAAATTTGTTGAGAAAAACCACTAAATATATTTTTCCTGGTTATGGTGCTATGACTAGGAATCACCACCCAGACAAAAAACACCCCCTCCCCCTTCCTCGCCTGTGGATTACCTGTTGATAATTTTGATAGTTTTCCACTATTGCCGCCTAATCTGGGGCCAGCTTTCACTGCCTATTTCTTAATGTTCCATTATATTCTACTTCACTGTCTGCAAATTTTGGTAGATATTCCTCTTCATCTCCTTAGTCATCAAAAGTTCTGCATATTTTGCATGGTGTCAGTGATCATTTGTTTGCCTATGAATCATACAGGCTTTGGTTATGTTGACAGTATCAATTGGCCATATTGGGCATTAGAGGGTACTGATACACAAGGAAGTTTTTGTCAGGAGGGCAGCTCATCACCAGAAATACCTATTGATTACAGGAGTTGCCATACTCTAGCTGGCATGCATAACAAAATTGGGCAGGATGACAATGTCTTATAAAGTGATAAGTGGCTTAATAAATTGCTTAAAATTAAGAATTAAACAATGGGACATGTATATATAGGAAGTTAACTTTAGAAGGCATTAACAAATAACAAAAATATTTATTAGCAGTTACAGTATACATATATAGTGTGCAAAATTTAAATGGTTTCTCATTACTCATTGTCAGAGACAACACATGCCCAACTCCCAGGCACCTATTTACTGCTAGGTGAATTGAGGCATTAGTTGTAAAGAAATTTGCTCAAATGTCTCGTCTAAGCCCATGGTAATTGGATGCATCGCATCAGTTCAGGATTAACACTGAAGATCACCTGTTTGTAGCATATGGGCTTAAGAGTTATGTAAGTGGTTGACAAATTATATAACTAAAAGTAAATATAAAAGTAGAAAGTTACACATGAATTAATAATCAATTTTAGAAAAAATAAAGCTACTGATCAGTGATCTTAGGCTTATTTACAATCGGCTAGCTGCTCAAAAGCAAATGTACCGAGTGATCACTGGCGGCTTGAAGATGCTTACACAAGAAGAGGATAAAGTGATGAAATCTTCAGCAAAATTAGAATACTTTATAGGGGTTCTTTCTTTGGTAGAAAGATGAATATAACAAAGATTGAGTGACCATAATAGAGAAGGAACAGTTATGCCTTAAGGCTAAATTGAAATGCTGCAATTTAACCACACAATTCCCCCTTTGCTAGAGTCAAACAAAGCAACACCTTAATACTTTTGTGGCATACAGTATTCATGTTTTATGTTTGGTCACCAGCAAGGGTGACTAGCCTGGATGGGGCCCCTCTATAGATTGACTATTCATCCCTAGAATGCACTGATCACAGTATGTATTGGATGACTGACCTACTGAGAACAAAGATCTTTTCAAATGGGAAGGCAGAGTAGTGCATAGTTAATTTGTTTCAAAGTTTTGTTTGGTGATTCCGTGATTGCTAAGCATTTCATTGGAATAGGTTTTGTGACTTTCTTCTAATATTTAGTTAATAATAAACCTCATTTGTGTGTTAATCTATGATTACCATGTGCTTCCCACCCTGGTGATGGGGCAAGATGGTTTGAAGAGGTCCTTGTTCGCTGTGAGCCGAGATAGTCACAGGAGCTAGGAATCTCCAGAATATCCCATGGATGCTGGTGACATAAGCTAGGGAAGCTAATGAAGTGCCACCCAGAAAAGAATGTTTCATTACACTCAATGGTTTATTTTTAGCAAGAGACCTAGCAGTGGTTTGCGAGACATTTGGGCATTTTTCCTAATATCTGATGTGTCTGTTCATCTGGGAGTTAGGCGACTGTTGTAACCTAACTCCTTGGGAAATATCAGTCGTTGGTTTATGGAGACCTCAATAAACATGAAAGGATTTCTTTTCTAAAAGCAATGGGAAACTAAATTTTGTATATCCTTTCCTATCCCATCATAACCTAAATCTGGCAATATTTTTGTAAAGTTGAGCAACAGTACAGTACAAATAATTACTGTACAGTATTTGAAAAGTGAAACGTATGCAAACATGTCGTCTACAGTTTTTAGATATAGATACAGGTACTGTACTGCATATTAAAATAAAAATCAGGCAATATGATAAGAAAGTGGCAGAATGACACCGACATGAATGAGCAGAATTTGGGAGCATGTTAGTATTCGTGAGATGTAGTCAGTGTGGAAGAGTATCCATAGGTTGGTTGTGTGAGGAGAGGCTGGTATGGAGTAGTCAATGTATGAGTCTTGTGCTGGACAGTGGGAGACAGTTCATTAGACTTGTTTAAAAATATTGATCATGCCGTTCAAGTTGAAAATATGTTACGGTAAAAATCAAATGGACAGTGAAATCATGTTAATGTGATGTATCAGTGATGGGAGTGCCAAGGTACTCGCTTGGTACTCCCAATTACTTGGCAGTACCAAGTGAACGGGTTCAAATCCTTCCAATATCTCCTACTGATTTTCTCAGTAAAAATCAAATCAAATAATGCTGTTAATTAAGCCATTTGGAAGAAGACAATATAATAAATAAGGCATAATTTAGGAAGAGAAACACTTAGACTCAGAGGAAAAGAAAAATTATGAAAGCACCATCTAGTAAAGTTTGGAAATAGTGATGAGTAAGAGGAGATATTCAGGCAAAGAAAATAATAGTTTTTTAGCTACACTTGATTTCACTCTACAGGATGACATAATGAAAATAAATTGTGAAGCTATAAAATTTTAATTAATCAAGATCTATAACAATTTTGATATATTAAAAAAACAATATATGAAATTACAGAAAGTTCAGATGATGACTCGCTGCTAACCAGACCACTGCCTGAGCGAGGTAAGTTTTTTTGTAGCTCCATGAAGTTTTTAGCTGAAGTCCAATATTTCAGAATTTTTTGTTTCAATGTCTACATTTTTTAATAATATTTTAATAATCTAAATTTTGACTCGCACATTAATACAGTATTCAGAATTTTTTAACATTATTTCAGTTTTCCTATGAAGTATTTACTTCATTTTATTACATTCTCTGTGAAGTCTGGTTTTTAGCTGGAAGCATATTTATCATGATATATGCACAAACATACAGTATCAAATTTGATTCATCAAACCGAGAAAAATCTGTTTCTTATGCTATATATACCTAACGCTGTTACTGTACATTAACAAATGGAGATGATTATGAATACAGTACATAATATTGCAGTGTACAGTAACTGTATTAAGAATACGTTTATTTATTGCACTTACACCGTATTTTTGTTATATTTTTTCCCTTGGTGTGTGTGTGTGTGTGTATGTCTGTGTTTGTGTGGTTTTTAATTGTTTTGTATTGTGCCATTTTCCTTGAGAAGTCATGTATAGAAGGTCCCCGGTGTTTGGATTTCCACTTGAACACCTGATCAGCGTCAGCTGTTTGACATTGTCTTCCGGCAGTTGTGGGATTTTCCATACATTTTACCAGCAGCTTTGTTTCTTCTCTTACACAAAATTAGATTGAGTTCTTTGAGTTGCAGTATAGTATAAACACCCTTATAGACTGGTTGTATTTTTTTAAGGAAGCTATTGTTATTTTTCCATATACAGTACTGTACTGGAATCTCCCATGCATGAGTAGTGTTTCTTTTTGCAAATTTTATGTTGCAAATCTTGATGAGAAAAACAGGTATTAATTAGAAAGGACACCTAAAAACAAAAGATACAGTGAAACATATTGAATTACAAAATACAATATAAGGTTAATTCATATTCTGATTATAATAATACAAATAATAACAATACAAAAATTGAGGTTCTGGCAGTAGACTTGGCGGTGATGGTTGCCCTTCAGACCCCTTACCTAAGTGTTACCTCTCTTGCCAGTGGTTTCTGTCTGAACCCTTGTTCACCCTCTGGTCCATTGTTCACTTATGTCGCCTATTGTTCACCCTCTGGTCCGTTGTTCACTTATGTGGCCTATTGTTCACCCTCTGGTCCATTGTTCACCCTCTGGTCCATTGTTCACCCTCTGGTCCATTGTTCACTTATGTGGGTTTTCGGTCACCTTCTGGCCCATTGTTGTATGGGGTACAGGTTTTTCTTCCCTGCCACATACCAGTACAAGAAACAGTTACAGTTTGTATGAGAATGTCAAATTCACCTTGCAGTATCAAAGCACTCAAATGAACACACAATCTAAGCTTTATAATATGCTTAACGAGATGTACCTTTATGAGAGAACTCGTCCGTTTCGCTGCCAAAATCAATCATAGTTAACACCAAAAGACCAGGTTAAATAATAGTTTGGAATTAAAACTGATTTTATTTAATACTGTAGCCTTAAAATTTAAGTTTATAAAAATAGTTTTCTTATATATTTCACTTTACTAAAATTGACATAACTGAATGGCTTCTAAATTAGGAACTAGAATTGTCTGACTGAATCCAGGATTTAGTATGCAAGAAAAATAGTGTAACAATACAATACTTCTTAAATTAGCCAATCTGAAATCTCCAAAAACTGATCTCTTCAGATATAACACAGACTATTCCATGGGGACTGTAATAATGGTTAGTGATATAGAAATACTACCCTGTTGGTTACTTTACACTTTGAATGCTCTACATAAGATACCTTAAATCACACAGAGATTATATCATTCAACACAAGAGGCTTGAATTAAAATATTGTCAGGGATTAGATGGGACATTCATAAGAAAACTTTCAAGATCCTTTCCAATCTTTTACATCCTACATTATTCTATAAGCAGCAACACCTACTGCACAGATACTTAAAGATTACAGAAAAACGTCCAATCCTCCAGCGCTGTGGAAGATTGTTTACAAGGGACAGGAATGTGATGCCACTCTAAGCATCCTCTCCTTTTGGCACCCACAATAGGACGTTTTGAGTGCTAAAGTGGCAAAAGGCGCATTAACAATCACGAAACAAAGAACACAAATACTTGAGTATGTGGACAAGTTGTTATTAATTTGGATACACAACAAGGAGTTAGCAGGTGTAAGCGTTTCAGAGACCCTCATTTGTGAGAAAGCCAGAGTATTGCACGAAGACCTTGTAAAGAAAACCCCTGGAATGAGTGCAGATACGAAAGACTTTAAGGCAAGCAGGGGATGGTTTGAAAAATTTTGAAAAAGAAGTGGTATTCATAGTGTTGTGAGGCATGGGGAGGCTGCCAGTTCAGACAAACCAGCAGCTGAAAGATTTTTGAAGAATTTAAAGATTTTGCAGAGGCTGAGGGATACCTACTGCAACAAGTGTTTAATTGTGATGAGACAGGACTGTTCTGGAAAAGATTGCCTAAGAGGACATACATTACCCAGGAGGAGAAGTCATTGCCTGGACATAAGCCTATGAAAGATAGGTTTACTCTTGTGCTGTGTGGAAATGCGAGTGGTGATTTGAATATTAAACCCTTGCTTGTGTATCATTCTGAAAATCCAAGGGTTTTAAAAAAATATAGTGTGCAGAAAAACCAAATGTGTGTGATGTGGAGGGCTAATAGTAAGGCATGGGTGACTAGGATATTTTTTACGGATTGGGTGAATGAGATGGTGTGCTCTGTCATACAAAAATATCTGCAGGAGAAAAGTTTGCCACTCAAGGCCCTGCTTCTCTTCGACAATGCTTCTGCTCATCCTCCAGGCTTGGAAGATGCATTGTTGAACAAATTTAATTTTGTCACAATAAAGTTCCTTCCTCCTTACACCACTCCTCTAATTCAGCCTATGGACCAGAAAATCATAGCAAATTTTAAGAAACTTTATGAAAGGGCACTTTTCCGGAAATGTTTTGAAGTGACTGATGCCACAAACCTCACCCTCAAAGAGTTCTGGAAAAACCATTTTAACATTTGTAGTGCTTTAAAACTCGTTGACAAAACCTGGCAAGAAGTGACTCAAAGAACCCTGATCTCTGGCTGGAGAAAATTGTGGCCCGAATGTGTGTCAGAACTAGACTTTGAGGGGTTTGAGCCTGTAAATGAAGTGCCTATTGTTGAAGAAATTGCTACTCTGGGCTGGAAAATGGGCTTGGAATTGGATAATGCTGATGTGGAGGAGTTGGTGGAAGAACACAATGAAGAACTGACCACCGAAGAACTCCAAGCCCTTCAAAAGGAGCAGCAACAAGAGGCAGCTGAGGATATTTCGTAAGAGGAGAATGAGGCAGTAGAGAATGTCCCTTCTTCAACAATTAGGAAGTGGTGTAGGATGTGGGAAGGAATGCAAACTTTTGTTGAAACGACTCGCCCAGAGAAAGCTGTAGTAGGCCGTTGCATTAATCTTTTCAATGACTGTAATGCCTCACTACAGACAAGTGTTGCATAGAAGGGAAAAACAGTCTTCAATGGAACGTTTCCTTGTGAGAAACTCGAGCAGTGAGCCACAACCAGGTCCTAGTGGTATGTTGGCAAAACGTGCCAGAGAGTGCACTCCAGAGAAGTCTCACTGCCTGATGTTATAATGGAAAGGGATTTCCCTTCCACACAGTAACACCTCTTCTCCTCCCCCTTCCTCACCATCTTCCAGACACCAACAGGAGTCATCAGCAAGAGTAAGTAATAACTTTAACATACTTTTGTAGTAAAGATTTGGGTGAATTAGGTATAAAATTTACTTTGAAGTGAAGTTTTTAGGGAGTCAGGAATGGATTAGTTCATTAACCATTATTTCTTATGGGGAAATTCGTTTCGGTTTACGAATTTTCGGATTACGAACCGTCTCCAGGAACGGATTAAATTCGTAAACTGAGGTAAAAAACTATGATGTATTAATATATTTGGCATATAAAGTGGCTAAATGTATGTACTGTACTGCATATATTTTAAAGGTCAAAATCTTTACAAGTCAAATGTTTACAGAAATGATTAGGTGCATTTCCTATCACTGAATGCAGCTGTTCACCTAGCAGTAAATAGATACCCAGGGGGGGCCTGACAGCTGGGTGGACAGCGCTTCGGATCCGTAATCCTGAGGTTCCGGGTTCGACCCCCGGTGGAGGCAGAGACAAATGGGCAAAATGTTTCTTTCACCCTGATGCCCCTGTTACCTAGCAGTAAATAGATACCTGGGAGTTAGACAGCTGCTACGGGCTGCTTCCTGGGGGTGGAGGCCTGGCCGAGGACCGGGCCATGGGGACACTAAGCCCCGAAATCATCTCAAGATAACCTCAAGATAACCCCTGTAACATATAGGGGATCTACATGAGAGGGGCTTCCTCTTTGAATCCTAGATTCAAACATGGTACAGTACATCTTACTTTGAATATTATAACGTTTAGGGTATATGTTTATTTGAGTGCATTGACTGATACCCCATTGGTGGATTCAACACTCTCATACAGTGTAACTATCTCTCGTACTGTACTTGTTTGCAGCGAGAACTGGGTAAATAAACCCATACCCTTACATTGTTCACCAACAAAGCCATTGTTCACCCTCTGACCCATTGTTCACCCTCTGATTGTTGTTCACTGTTTGGCCTTTTGCAAATGTTCACCCTCTGGCCATTAGTCACCTCTTGGGCAAATGTTCACCCACTAGCCGTTGTTTACACGTGAACAAATGTTCACCCTTTCGCTCATTAAAATCTCAGACAGAGTTTCCTCCTTGTGCTCTTATGATGAAGTATTCCTCAGCATTTCCACATATATTTCCCTGATGACAGCAACTGTGTTTAACGCATCCACATGTATTTAAAAATACGCTCATCAAACCTTTGTGTGTTTTTGGGGCGGTTGTCTTACATTCAGAAGTGTGAAAGCAATTCATAGTTTATTTAAAAAAAAAAAAGTTTGTCACGTGCAATGCCATAAAAGGTATGACAAATTTGTAGAG